GATGGGTGGCAACTAATTTGAGGTTTGCTTGATTTTGCACGCGACAAAAAGTAACAGATTAAAAAAAAAAACCTGATTTCAAGGGTCGAGACAAAAGTAATCAGGCTTTAGAATCATGGGGGTTGATACACACCACATAAAAACCGTTTAAAGTTTGAGGTTTTTTTTGCATTGTTTCACTTCATGGGGCTAAGAGGTGGGACAGGTTACGAGGAGAAAAAAAAGGTTACCAGAGACGATTCAATGAGTCGTGGGGTAGAATTCATAAAAACCGATTTGAAACAATGATTTTTAAAAAGGTATTTAAATTTTTTTTCTCCTCTCAGAGCTGCTTTTTTATGATCTTATTATTCAATCAAATCTTTCTTTAATCTTCTTTTTAGTTTAGATAAATATATACGTCCAATGAAACCATTAATTTAAAATATTTAGAAAATAAAAATTTATAGTGCGTTCACAAACCGGGAATTATTTACATAAATGATCTATTCCATTTAAAACCGTACAGCATCTCTTTTTGCAAAATTAAATAGGAAAAATGGTTTCAAGGGACGTGTGGAATTTTTTTTTTTTTTTTCAATAATGATTTCTCGTTGTTACTGACCTGTTGATGGCCAGGACGAGACTGAGGCTGAGAGAGAGCCTGGCCTGCATGGTCTACTTGCACCGCTGAAACTATTACAAGCAATGTTTTTTTATTTCGTCCAGATTTGGGAAATTGAATATTTACAAAAAAACAGACAACTACAGCAGTAACAAATTTTTTCTTCTTTTGCAAAAAAAAGAAGAACACATTGGCAAAGGAACTCTACGAATTTTCAGAGGCAGGACGAAAAGGTCGAAAGATGCAAATTATTATTTTTTTTTTTTTTCAATTAAAAACTATTTTTGTTTTATTGTATACTTTTGTGAGACCATCAGGCCAAACTCCCTCGCGGCTCTCCGTCCAATTTTAATTTGTAGAATTCGTTTACATTACACTACAAGCCATGAGATAACTACAAAGCACAATTATTAAAATATAACACATATATATATATATATATTTATGATTAAAAATATTCTTATTAAAAATAATTGTAGGGAAATTAGAAAAATTTTTTATGGGGGTCCACATGAATTATAATATTAAAAAAAAAAAAATTACGAAAGGTATTTGAATTTACGTGTGTGTGTTTGGAATATATGTATGGGAGACATTGAAAAGGGGATATAAGGTGGAGAAAAAAAGTGCACCAGATAATAATCAACCGATAGAATTTGGTTAAACAGTTCGACGCGGCGGCAACGGCGGTCGGCGAAGCTTAATAAAAATCCAAGTCGTTCGTTACGAAGTTTGCCCCTTGTGGTCCCCTTTAGCTCACACGTTTTGCAGCTAAAAGAGAAAGAAAGAAAGAGATAGAGAGAAGTCAGGTCTACCAACACGCGTCAACGGACTCGTGTGAGGGCCCCCCTTTTTTTACGCGTGGATCCAGTGAACACATTGACACCGTCTGTGTGCACATACGCTCGCTTACGAGTACGGTAGCGATACGTTTCTCCGACAAATAAATAAAATAAAACCGTAAGCGAGGGAATAAAATGTGATTTACAACGGTAGAAAGACAATGGCCGAGGTTCTGCACGATAATGTATGCGGATGGCGCGGACTGGTACTGGGATACTGACTCCTGATTGGTCGTACCCCGACGCCAGCGCTACAACGGAAAGCGATAAATAACTACGAGCAGATAAAACCTTTTCTTTCTGCCTTGGGTTTTTAGCTTGCTGGGCACTCCAAAGAGCTTAGCACGCTCAAAAGTCTTTTCTCTTTTCTTCGTCCCTGAGCACAGAAAACGATTTCGAATCGTATGAACCAAACCCGAAGGACGCGACGTTAAACCAATGTCCAAAAATATCCAACTCGAGTCAAACACAGAACAATCAGAATTTACTCTTATTGCCATTCTCTCGACACATGAGGAAAAAAAAAAGAATCATCTGATGTTACCGAAAGAAGCGTGTGGCACATATAACTCTCCATCTTGTGTTTCGATTCCAAGTGAGACGTTATAAGGCTTGACATTTATCAGATTTCTTTGGCATACCTTGAGATATTTGATACTTTTTGACATTTTTTTTTCTGCATCTATTTTGTTTGTAGAAATTGACTATGACCTACTTAGACAAATTCTATCAGTAGATGAAAAAATATAAAAAAAATAGCCTTTTTATATGAAATAAAATATCGACTGTGAGAAAGAACGCGTGCGCCACCTAGGAGCATTCGGTTAAAGCTTGACATGATGCGCGGTAATATTCAAAATTTTTTTTTTATTTTCTATAACAAATCAAGAAAAATAAGGGAAAATTTTCGAATATATATTACTTTTTGTAGGATTATACCAAACTCGTTTATTTGCAATAGCCCGAAGGATACAAAAGAAGCGGTTTTCAACGTCGATGTTTCTAAATAAAGTTTTTCCTTTCCTAACCGCCTTCGCATTATCACATATAACGTCAAGACCTCTCATTCTCTCTCTCTCTCATCTCTTCGTAAACTGAAGGTTACGTTGAAACGAAATGTAAATTTTTTTCTCGAGCTCTTCTTATTCTCTCTCACTTTCTTTTGCCTTTAGGGTGTTGGAAACAATGGTAGGGTGGTTTAAAAAGGGGCGATCGATCGTTTTATAGGGGGTGAGCACACAGGTCCAAGGGTGTCTTAGCTGAAACGCGCGCGGGTGAAGAGAGTCAGCTTTACAGAAACATGATATTTTCCCCACGCAGCTTGTTAAAAAATATCCAATACCAAGTGTATACACTCTTAAATTTATATATATATATACTCTTCCAAAAAAAAAAAACTTTCCCAATGTTGCCGGATCAAACTTTTTGATCCCCATACAGTTTGGAAATTCAATTTTATTCAATGTCGGTGAAAAATTTCGCGAGGGAACTTTTAATAAGGGATCAAATGTTAGTTCTAAAAACCCCCTTTTATAAGAGCGTTTTTTTGTTTATCTTTCGATGAAATTTCCGTCACGATTTTAGGCTGATATAATTTCTGCTTTTTTTTTTTTTTTGGTTTGCAATTTTTAGTTTTATTGGTTGTTAAGAATGGTATGTTGAAAAATATATTTTATATTGGAATATGAACGTTTTAAAGATATTTCCAAGAGTTCCGCGAAATATGGTCGTTTAGAGGATAATCGTTGGAAAGGGCTTAATTTCAAGGCGGCTGGGTTACGATTAAACCAACCCCTCTGGATATAAATGGACAAAACGAAATAGAACTGCATATAACCGACCTCGTAAATCACGCTCGGCGATGCGTGCCCTGCTCTCTTTCTCGAAAGTGTCGGGACTATCATATATACACTATTTTACACAATGATCACCCGTAGGCTGCTGCAATTTTATCGTCCTGCATTTTACATTGTAAAACTTCTTGACGGTTATATCACTCCGCGGGCGTACCAAATGTGTCGCTATATATATACAATATATTTGCGAGAGATATGAAAACCTCGCATGATATTTTCACGTATGACCAATTCTGAAAATAAGCCATAACACGCCCCAACTTCCGTCTTCGTGCATATATATCCCTTATAACCTTCTGTTCAAAAAATATTTAACCTACTTAATTTATAAAATAAAATTTTACTCAATTTTTGATTGGTAAAAAAATTATTTTGCAATCGAAAATAATTACTTAAAATAATCAATATAATCGATGCGAATGGAAAATTTTCGAAGCGTATTTAAAATCAGTACGGTTGGTGTGGCCTCTACAAACGTGACTGGATATATATGCAATTATTTAAAATAGCAATCACGGAAATGAAAGTGGATGGGTGAGGGGGCATTGAAATATTTGGCTGAATTTTTCATGCGGAAAAATTCTCTAAAGATTTTTCCAGCTGAGATGGCTGCAATGCAAAACCTAAAATCAAACATGAAGAACTCGTTTTTGCCAACTGTGTGTATATATATATGTAATGAATGTCGATTCGAATAATTGATATGAAAAGTAACTATATATATATATATATATATATGTAGGCGCGTATTAAATTCACAGCACCTAGGTGCTTGGGCTAAGCTTTGATGACGATGGAAGCCATGAAAATGTAACAATTGGAACATCCGGTGCGATGGTTATCGTGACTGGCCATCATGTAGATTAAATTAAATCATTAAGCGAGAAACAGGATGACGATGTGTGGTTTATACTGGCCGCTTTTTTGTTTCAATTGCTAGTTAACGCGCTGAGACTTGAGCTGCGCTTTGTTAAACATAAACATGATTTATTCCTCTACAATCAACTTATTTCAGAGATTAAATCTAATCATAACCTTTTGTACATATACATATGTTTCTTTAAGTGATCAATTATTTTTATATGTCTTTTACATTTATCTCTCCATTTATATTTTATTTTCTATTTTTTATTACAATGCAAAAAAAATTTATTGTTTCAGAAATTACTGTTTATTCTAATATATTAAAAATAAATTATTTTTCATAAAAATATATTAATCTTTCAACATATATAGAGAAAAATGATTTTGAAAAAGGGTTAGTTAAAATTAGTTTCGCCAAACCCCTTTTTGAATGCCCATTTGATATATATTTATTTGAAATTTATGAGCATTTCATACTAGAGATCCCCGATCTAATCCTCATTGTCAAACGATTTCAATAGTTTCTTTTTTTTTTTTTAATTCTCTCGGTGAAAAATTTAATCGCTTTGAAATTGACAGAGACGAAACGATCGATTTGAAATAAATCACTGATGCAATAAATATAACCATTTAAAGATACTATGAAATGTTTTTCGATATTAGATACAATTCATTAATAAAATTGCCAGCGGTATTTCTTTTTTGCTTTTTAAATTGATATAGTGAGTGATTTTTAATTCAAAGCAAAATGACATTCTTGTGCAAGTTTTTCCTATATATATATATATAATATTGAATTAATTTTAACACACTCTGTCTTGATCTGATTTACAGTGTATGTAAGCCGCGCACACACGATGAGGAATGGAAAAAGGCGAGACTTACTTATCTGCTGCTCCTTTCTGGCATATATTAACCCTGACGCGATTCAAGGTATGTTGGCCAATAATTTACAATCTATACTTTACTTATAGAATTTGTCTCATTGCAACCGGTCAACCTACGTTTATATATAATATAAAATCTAACAACCCAGAAGTTTCTATTCCCACGTGAAATCATATAATAGTAATCAATTGAAAAAAGGGATTCGCTACCGATTTTCGATTTCTCTATATGTATATTTCGCACACACTATCTGTGCCATAATGTCGAACCCATCGATCAGTTTGCGAACACTGGGTTGCCTGTTTAATTCTTTTTCCTCATTGACAGTTTGCTAACCCACACTATTAGAATCGCAATGGCGTAAGATGGTTATTTTCAATGCCCTAATTTTTTTTTTTTTATCTATTTTTCATTTATTTTTTTAATTTTAAATAAAATTTTATTTTACTCTCTAAATCGGAATTAGTAAAAATGTTTACTAATTTGAATTAGTGACTCATTTTTTGCTTCTGAATTAGTAAAATTTTACTAATTATTAGTAACTTTTACTAACAATTAGTAAAATTTAACTAATTCAGAAGCAAAAAGTGAGTCACTAATTCAAATTAGTAAACATTTTTACTAATTCAGATTTAGAGAGTAATGGCTGCATCCATTAAAATTATTAAATTATAAAAATTTTCAAATCCTTTTGTAACTCTATTTTGAAATTAAGTCAATGAGTTGAAATTAAGTATAAATTATATTTTCAGTCTCAAATGATAATTCAAAATAGAATTTTCGAAATATCTATCTGGTTGCAATGAATAAACATTTATTTATAAAACATCAGAACAAAATTAACGAGAATTATATAATGTGATTTTTTGAAACCAACGGTGAAATAAATGTTCTTTCCACGCCAGTGTAAATTGATATAGGCCTATAAAAACGATAAGGTATACGTCAAAAAGCAAGCTGATGTATTTTATATAAATACATTGTGCGGTATATGTTCGAAGTGTGCGATCATAGAGTATAGCGAATGATGGCGCATGCTTGGGATACATTCAGCTTTACTGACTTCGACATATTGTATACTCGATGAGGTCTACCTTTTCGTATTAACTTTATTGTGAAGTATGATTGATGAGCAACGATGCCAGACGATTATACAGATTATAGGAGAATTTCTATATTTGATCATTATACAAACACATACACACGATTGTGTACAACGTCTATCTCGTCTCTCCCTTTTTTTTTGTTCTGAAAAAAGTTCCTCCCCGGAAAATTTATACCCTCAATTTTTAACCTCGCTTTCAATTTTAAAATTACGTAAAATGATACTTGGGGTTTGTTTTTGTAAATTATTAATTCCTCTAATTCTAAGGAGATCGTTTCCCTCGGAAAATATAGATTACACCTCGTTTGCTTAATAACATCAATATTATTTGCTTTTTATACTATAGGGATATTTATCGATTTCTTTTTTTTTAATTTAGAGTTTGGCCAATTTACAAAAATCTAGTGAATTTTTGGTTGCGATTCGGATGTCCGGAAGATGAGTGATGTGATATAATTTTTTTTTCTTAAAAAGGCGGTCAGAGTATTAGAACTTTAATATTCTCGAGATCGTCTTACCCCCGTGTTTGAAGCAGCGGTTTCTTTTCGAACTCACCGTCTCTCTCGCTTGTGTCTGGCTTCGAATTTTAATAACTCTGGGAATGCTCAGAATCCAATAATGTCTTCTCTCGTCTCTTCACATGCGCCCATATCAAGCCCCCACATATATGCGAGCGCATACGTTGATTCGTGAACTTTTATATTCACACATACTATATATATATTATAGTTATATACTATATATATTCAGTATACACATAAAAATGTACTTGAATCTATTTTTGGATCTTTTTAAATATTCGCGTATTTAAAAAATGTACCTGATAAATCTATTTACGTATACGATTTATTAAATCTTTTATAATTATAAAATTTAATGTCAAATATACAATTGTTAGACATTTTTACAGTGAAGGATCGATGAGAGTATATACGTCCCTGAAATTCAGCTTCTCTTGAATACACACACGACTCCACCCTCGACCTATGCACGCTTCCGCGGAAATCTCATATTCTGGAATGACGACGCGAATTCAATCCCCTTGTGTCCTGCGCCAAGATATTTTTATACTTGGTTTTTTTTTTCGCCGAATAAAATCGGTAACTATGCTTTTAGCAATGTAATGTTGATTCTTGCGGTCTCTTGGGGGTTTTTCTCTAATCTCTTATTGCTCTTCATAGTTCCATTTATCCCAAGTATTAAACACTCGACAGTAGTCCTTTGGAAAGGAAATGATACTCTAAAATTAAGATTCAAAAAAGCGTGTGGTAAAAAAATAATTTGGAATTCGCATTGATCGCAGCCGTTAAGGCGGATAGAACTCCGAGTTAAGCGTTCGAATCTTCCTGCAGTGATTTTTTTTTATTGTAGAGAATGAATATTAAATTAATTTTTTTGTAAAGATTTGAAAATAATTAAATTGAAATTCAAGATGAGAAACGACATTAATGAAGAGATGAAATGAAAATAGACACAACTCGATCCTGGGTGGTATTAAAGCGATAACGTGCGTATGACATAAAAGTTGAAGATGCGTTAAGACTCACTTAACACCCACCCGCTAGGCGAGAATCTCGATATTTTATATGCATAAGGAAGAAGAAATAGCAGGTAACTAGAAATCTCTTGTATCGTATATATATATATATATATATATATATATATATATATATATATGAACACCCGAGAGTGGTATAGGAATTTAATTGGTGGTAATATGAATCCGCGTAATATAAACCGCCATCAGTCTCTCGCCTGGAGTGTATATAGAAAAGAAGAAGGTGCGAGAGCACAACACTTTTGGAGGGAAGAATAAAAAAAAAAAAATAAATAAATAAAAAACAGTTCTTTAGCCTCCGGTCGACATGCCGAACCAATGTCTCCACCTATATAATATCACAACTGGACAATTCTCTCCCTCTACAACTGTTGAATTTATTTCCTCAAGATAAAATTTACATGAGGGCCTTTTATATATACTGATTGCTAACACAGAACCTGTAATTTCAACCTCCTTAGCATCCCAACATTATATGAACGCTTACCCTATTTTGTATATTTGTTATGTAGATCAGAGAATGTGAATTTTGTTTCACATTCTAAAGAATCAATTATGCAGATGCAGACGAGATTTTGACATGTTAAAAAAACTCTCAAATCCTTCCTAACTCGAAAACCATAATTCTAAAATCGAAAACGTAGTTCTTTCTGTGACCCTAAAAGTCATCAACATAAAGCTTTTCCGTAAATTAGCATAATCCGCTTCCATATCGTGAGCACTTTTTCTTAACTTTTCAGAGAGACTGAATTCCAAAAAAGAATCCACTTTGAATACAGAAGGGATGATGTGATTAAAGTGAGATTCGATATATATATATATATATATATATATATATATATATATATATATATATGTGTGGAACAAATCGAAGATGGCTTAATTTAAATGATGGTCGAGTCAAAGGTTCTTTCTTGCCAAGAGTCCGGTTTGCACTTTGTGGCAAACACTGATAACGAAAATGGAGACGCAATTCAAAAGTTTTCGTGTGTAGGACTTTTCAGTGTGCATCACATACACAGACCCTCGAAATGGTTCGATTCCCGACAGATAAAATACGCGACGAAGAGAACCTCGTCCGTTTTCCATGGGGAGGACTCTGACTACACATCCCTTACTTTTTCATTCCCCTACTCTTTCTCTCTCTCTCTCTCTCTCTCTCTTTCTCTAATGTATTCACAAATCTTCGTTCTAACGTGGCGTTATCATTCTCCAAGCAGCCCCGTCTTCGCTTTTTGGAGTCGGGTACATTTTCCCTTCACTCTCCATTCCTTTTTACCTCCTCCTCCTCCTCCTTCCTTTTCTTAGTCCTCACCTTCTTTCCACTGGGGAGGAATTCATTTCGCGGCCCAACGCCCTCGTCTCCTACGAACGCCACTATTCGATTGCTTCGATTATCCTTGCCTTATTCCTTGAAGCTTTCTACCCTTACTTTCTTTTTTTTTTTTCTTTTTCTCCCTCTCTTTTTTCCCCTTTCTGTGTTGGCTCTAGTTTTGTCTCTTTTTAGTTTTCTCTGATGCTATTTTTTCTCTCGCGCCGTTTTGTTCCAAGTCCAGAACTACTTTATCACTGGTGAAGGAAGACTCAACTTGGCACTGTCACTGTTTGCCTATAGAAATCCCTCGCGACGAATCCTAACAGACGGCACTGACTTTCAATTGATTCAAATTCAAAGCCATCGCTAATAAACACAATTCTTCAAACGTTTCGATATAAACGATTTATCGTTCGACGATCAAAATGAAAAATACTCTTCAAATTAAATTTTATTCCTTCTTTGATTAATAGAGATTTAAATAATATTTCTAATTTGCACTAATTTTTTTTGAATAAAAATTTCTTATCTCATATATATAAAAAAGTTGAAATCTGTCACAAGAATCTTTGGTTTAAAAAATAATGTATATTCTCCTTTTTTGTCAAATCTCGTTGTGCAGATCTTGTAATTCCTTTGTGTGCGAGAATTGATTTTAAGAAGAGATGGAAGTAGAAGTTGTTGAACAATGCATTCCTTCTTAGGGACTTATTACGGAATCGAACGCACTTATATCTGGTTCGAATCCATCGCTAACATATACAAGAATCCCATTACACTGTTGATGAGAGTAAATGTGTATATGTGAGAGGACCAGACATGTTTGCGTATAAGGAGAATAACATCAGTGGTATGGGATGGCACATTCCAAGACCCATTCAGTCGGCCATGCTACCCGTTGTCAGACATGCTCACAGACAGACAGGCAGACGTTCGAACGAACCTTTTCTCAATCAGACCAATGCATTTTAAGATAATTGTCTCACTCGTCCCGATATCCTGTTGACCGTTTCACTTTGATTCAAAAGCCTGCTTTTCTTAAAGTTGCATTTTACAACAAAAAAACC